GGGTAGCACAAAAGTACCTTAATGTTTTGAGGTACACACTAACACCCCTGTTTTGTGGGAGATCTGTACAAAGGTCTGACTTCCAGATTACTGAAGTATTCATGCTGACTTGGACTAGGTAGGTAATATATTCCAGCATTCTAAGTCGGGCAAATACTCTCTTTTGCTACATGTGCCAGCAACTTGCAAGTTTGAGCCAGAGGCCCAAATGCCTTGAACAGCAGGGCTTTGCAGTTGTTCCAGTAATGCGTACACTGAGCCCATCAACCCTGCACAATGGGAACATGGGCAACTTCTAATTCTCCCAATACATAACGTGGCCATGCATAAACAGGGACAATGTGCGTATTTACCTTGTATGCACAGCCACAGTATACAGAAATGACAACTGGATTTCTCAGGGTTTGCATTCATGGTTACTGAGGTTCTACATGCACAGCCAATACATGTGTTGCCCCTGTTCACACAATACAGAGACTATGCACATCAAGAGGACTATGGGTAATTCAGAAACTGTTTTAATTTTTTTATTTACGGTTGTAACCCACCCCGAGCCCACTTATGGGGGCGGGCGGGATAGAAATGGCAGATAATAAAATAAAAATACTGTGTGTTTCTCTTACCCATAGCTGGTGGCTCCTGATATGCATGACTATCTGAAAGGTCTATAATGATTTTGCTACTGTGACACAGTCTACAGCTTTATTGTAGACTGGCAAAGCAAGGCCATATAAGGGAGAAACATTGTCTAAGTCAGTCAGCAACAAAGCAAAAACTCTCACTCGAACTCCCAACCCCTAATTTTCATCCTAATCCCATGATTCCTAATCACCAAAGCTCAACTTTCTGTTATGACCACCAAGTAACCTGTGTGTGTCTCAAGGTCCATGATGTCAGATTCAGATATGGTGCACAGATGATTATAACCTATCATAAATAATTTCATTTTTTTTTTTGAAAAAGAGACTTTAAGGAGTCCTCCCTTTTGAAACTTTTATTTAACAGAGGAGGACTATTATTAATTATAAGGTTGTACAATAGCTTTTGAGATTCTTGGAGATGATATTTGATATTTTTGATATCTCGTATATTGTGAATTGCGATTAAGATGATTAATGATATATGCAGAAATTATTGTAAAAATATTTTTCAAAAAATATAAAATTATTTATGATAGGTTGTAATCATCTGTGCACGGTACTTGTTGTATGTTGGTTTTCCTACTTACCGTGGGTCCTTGTTTGGCTTTGAGATTCAGATATGGGGCAAGCCTAGGGTGGCCAACCTCCAGGTGGGGCCTGGAGGTCTCCCGCTATTACAGCTGACCTCCAGATGACAGAGATCAACTCCCCTGGAGAAAATGGCTACTCCGAGGGTGGACTGTATGGTATTGCACCCTGCTGAGGCCCCTCCCCTCCCCAAACCCCACCCTCCCCAGGCTCCACCCCTCAAAATAATCTCCAGGTAGTTCCCCTCCCAGAGCTGGCAGCCCTAGGCAGGCCTCTTGCATTTGTGGCAACTTCCACTCCTCCCTTATCAGTGCTTCCCTACAGTTCTTTCAAAGCGCTGGACCCTCGACCTGTGCTGAATTTGGGGATTTGGACTGAAGGCAGGGGGATCTCTTCTTGACCTTGCTTAGCCAGTCATACCTTTCCAGGTGATTCCTGGACTGTCCCTCTTCTTGCTTGTTTCCCTGGCAGTGAATTGCTACCTTTCTCCCCCC